TTCCTAGGCATCTCAAGAAACGGGAACAAGGGCACGACTTCAGGATTTCCGAAGCTCCAAAGCCTGGACCCTAAACCCCCCCTAAACCCTAAACCCTAAACCCTAAACCCTAAACCCTAAACCCTAAACCCCAAACCCCAAACCCAAATTAAACCACAAGGTGCTAGATACGGGCCCTGAGCTTCAAAGTCAGTAGCGGATCCTCCCAGTCCCCAGCCATGCCGCTGGCAACTCAGAGTCCTCCAGGGTTTTAGGGCTTAGGGGTCTAGGGGTCGGGGGATTTAGGGGTCTAGGGATTTAGGGGTTTAGGGTTTAGGGGTCTAGGGATTTAGGGGTTTTGGGGTGTAGGGGTTTAGTTCGGGGTTTAGGATTCAACTCAGGGTTCAGGGTTTTGGGTGGCTTTTGGGGTTTGAGGGTTTTGGGGGTTGTGGGGTTCCGGTTTTTGGTCTTTGTGTACCTGGCTCTTCACCTATATGCATTTTCTCACTTTGTCCAAGAATAGCTGCGTGAGCAGAACCATTGAAACCATTATCAACCATTCAAATCACTCAAGCTCTAAAACCGCCCCCTGCCTGTCTCTCTCCCTCTCTCGCGCACGCAGTCCTCTCGTCATAAGCCTTGCAATGCAAGTCCCCTAAGACTGTAGCCCCCAAACGGCAGCGGTCCATGGGTAGAGCTGCTACAGCGACATTGTGGCCGATGGAACCTGCCCAGATCGGCAGAATTAACGGTACCTGCTGGATGCTGTTTGACAAATCAAGGCAGGATAGTGAAATCAAGGCAAAGATATTGGGCGGGTAATCTTTGCTTGTCATTTAGACCTCAGCTGAATTAGTTGCCTTAGGTCCATCTCCAAGCAGAGAGGTCGAGGCACGAGTGGGCCGGACACTTTGGTATATCGGGTAGGGTAGGACTTCACAATTCTGAACGTCATGCTTTTCACTCTCCATGATAGGCCCCATGGCAGTACAGCGACACGGCGCTGCCGGGAGAGGCAGCTGCAACCGGCTTCCTAAGACCCCGGCAGTTGCTCTGAGAAACAGCGGTTTAGGGTTTAGGGTTTAGGGTTTAGGGTTTAGGGCATCAAGCAAACACACACTTCTTAGTCCAAACCCAATCAAGCCCGAACCAGTCTGATCCTCCGATTGCAGCATCTGAGCCCGCACCTAGCACTTCCACCTCCACACTGCGGGTTCCCGCAACCTGTGACACCGACAGACCTTGGACCAGGGCAGTTTTATGTTCAGGGTTTAGGGTTTAGAGGCTCTCGTTCCGGGTCGATTGCTACTGAGGGGTGGAAGGAAGTTACCCTGGTCCACCTGGATCAGTGCTGACAGCACACCCTCACCTGCCATCGGGAGCTCGAGGCAAACTCCCTCAACCCTACTACCGGGGCCTGAATAATCAGAATAGGGTTTCGGGGGGGTCATGATAGTATAACTATAAAGGGACCCTAAGGGAATGCAATTAGTAATTATTCCGACCCCTGTATTGAACACTCTCTGTTTGCCAAAGCGACGCAGCTGCTCCTGGCCCTCACAGCATCGGAGCACCATCCCGTCAGGGCCTTCGCATGTAGCCGTCGGCCCATCGATGGTGCTAGCACCCTACAAATTACAAGTATGGGTCGCTCTTTAAAATAGGGTCCCTTTGGGTCACCCAAATAGCACGGCACCCTCAAAACGAGGACCCCCAAAAGGCACTGCAACTTAGAGACCTACCCATATAGGACGGAGCCTTAACCTATAAAGAGCCCATGATTCGAGAACCCTTTCAAGTCAATTAATTAGCCAACTTACCCCAATACAACGCCGGGTGTCCCAAAGATCTTTTGCCATGAACTGTGGCAATGCCCATGGCTTCCCATTTTCCCGGAGCCTCCCTGAACCCTAAACCCATTTAAACTCCGAACCTTCAAACCCCTAAACCCTAAACCCTAAACCCCAAAACCCCAGACCCTAAACCTGACTCCGGCCAAGGGCACCTTCGAACAGACTCGTGCTTGGCACCGGTTGGCAGCTCCAGGAGCGCACAGCTTGGCGATTCTCAAGGAGGTGCTTCACCTCAGCGAAGAGTTCGGGTTTAGGGTTTAGGGTTTAGGGTTTAGGGTTTAGGGTTTAGGGTTTAGGGTTTAGGGTTTAGGGTTTAGGGTTTAGGGTTTAGGGTTTAGGGTTTAGGGTTTACTAAACCCTAAACCCTGAACCCTGAACCCTGAACCCCAAATCCTAAACCCTAAACCCCAAACCCCAAACCCCAAACCCTAAACCCTAAACCCAACCAAGCTCTGGGGGTTGTCAAACACTCCTGGCCAACTGCAGCGTAGACGCGGCGCAGGTCGCGCAAGCATCCTTGGGGACAGACACACACTCTGCGCTTAAGGGGGTTTAGGGTTTAGGGTTCAGGGACAAGGGTTGTTTAATCCCTCACCCTAGTCCAGTCTCATGCCTGCTTTTGGGGCTAAAGTTTTTAAATCCTTAACCCCGAATCCTTAAGCCGGTAAGTATCATAAGGGGTTTCTAACCCTAAACCCTAGACCAATGTTTTTTGCAACTTCGAGGCGTAGCCCGTCCGCTGCTCCAGAAGCCTCGAATGGTCCCGCGCGTTGTCCTCGTTGACCTGGGACCAGGATACTTCAGGTGCCGACTTCCCTCGCTGATTCCCTACCCAGAACTAGGTTCAGCCTAAACCCTAACCCCTAAACCCTAAAGCCCTAAGCCGTAGTTACGGTTTCAGGGTTTTAGGGTTCAAGATTATCCTGAATTCTCAACCCCTGACCCTGACGACTCGGAATTCGGTCTCGGCTCAATCGGGCCTCAAACGTCAACCCAGGGGGCAACTGCCTGTTTACTCCAAGCCTGGGGTTTTCAGACATCTCCTTTGCCTGCAGCAATGCTGCCATCCCTGCGGCTCGGTTTCGGAAAACATGACACATCTGCCAAGCGCTTTGCCGTACGCTTCTGTGCTGTTAACGATGTGGGATGCACTCCTAGAAAAGAAGACCAACCCTGCCATCTCCGCATCATGCATGCGGGCTGCACAAAAGCTTAGTTGCTGAGTTCATAAGCCCCAAAAAAGTTGTTAAGAGGCACCCCTAAGCTGTCGGACCACGCCTAACACAAGAAGTAGACTTCGAGCAACATCTGCCCCTGCTGGGGAGGCCACGTGGCTTCTTAACCCTAAACTCCAGACCCTAAACCCTGAGTCCAAAGAGCATGCTGGTAGCCCGTGCGCAGGTCCGGGTTAAAGCAAATGTCACACTGGTAGCCGCCGTGCTGCAACCAGGCCTCATTCTTGAACGACTTCGGCTCTACGTAGTCCTAATCCCGACTTTGGAATAGACGCTGGAAACAAAAAGTATATACTTTGTAGGTATTAAGTGTAGCTACAATGGGAGCCCAGAACCAAAAACAAAAAGCGCTAAAGTATAGTACTCCGACACCCAGTAATTCACGCAATGGTCAGAAGTCAGAACATTAGGAAGCCAAAATGACTACAGTAGCCTCCCAAAAGTTGGAACATCAGTATCCTCATACCCCAACAGGGCTACTAAAGGGAATGTGCAGAATGCCAGCACGAGTCGTCCTTAAACCATGTTCCAACTTCCTGGAGTTTACTGTATACTCCCCCTTAGAACCTCAATAAAAACACTATGTTTAATATCCTCTTGGGTTGTATATAAACAAAAACACCAAGCGGGATATAGAAGAAGCGTTTAGGTGCGGCGAATCCAGGATTCGTGTATGAAAACTTGCCCGTGTATGGCAACCAAAAATCGCTCAAGGCCAGGGTAGGAGAGCTTGGTGCAATACAAGTGTATGAGCGATGTTGGAAGCCGGGTGAGAACACCCTTATCAATGGGTCGGCTCGGAGGTCAACTTTTTACCGACGAGAACCACTCACATGTATGATGTGTCCAAATATATACCAACCCCACTGAAAAATCCACATAAATAAAGCTAGACGGGTTGCCTCTTTTCCTATCCACTGCACGGATATCCAATGCCAAGTTCGGGGAGACTGTACAAGCATGTACAAGCGATGGGCTGCTATAAAGGAGCTCAAATTAGAGGTGGTCCTTTGAGCACGTGCCGTTTCTTCGTTTGCTTCGTGTGGTATGAAGCTTCTCCTCCTTGTTCCTGGCCTGGTTTGTTGCTTTCTTGATGCTCTTCCACTACTTTCTGAGCTTGGTGTCCGTCTGATGTATCCAACCCTTTTTGTCCCTAAACCCCAAACCCTAAACCCTAAACCCTAAACCCCGGTGCATCACTGGCATCGAGCTCCCCCGGCCGCCGTTTCCTCCGATGGGCCCCACGGGCGGTCACAGGCAATGCGCATAGACCTCCCAGTACCGGTTGAGGCGATAGTTATCCCTTGGGATGTTCTCCTTATACTAACAGTCCTCTAAAAGGATTCTGACATGCATTATAATAATAGGTACTATACTCCTTATTGAGGACTGTTAGCATAAGGGGGAACATCCCAAGTTGCTCCACGCAATCTGAAACATAGATTCCTGGACAATCGGCCTCAGAGGCGCCCCATTTTTACCCTTTATTCGTCTGTCTTTCATTCTTCGCCTCCGAGATGCCCACCTCGTTCATGTAGGGGCCTAGATGACTAGAACAGGGTTTTGGAGATTAGTATAGTGTAGCTATATAGGGAATACTATCAGTATTTTCTTCGACCCTTGTTTACTCCTTTTCCCCATCCGCTTTCATTGGTCCATTCTAGTGTTTCTATCTTCTGCACCCATTCAGCCCAAGCCTTCGACCCTCCCTTTCTGCTCTCTCGGGGTTCCCTTGGTCGAAGCTGTATCCTTGACAAATAGGCTCATTTCAGCCCTTTTTCATTCGTCCATCGCCCACAAGGATGCATACCCGCCCACTGGCTGGGGCTTTTCTACCGATACTTCCCCGATTTCTTTCCCTTCTCATGTCGTGTACACTTTCCTGCCAGCAGAAGAAAAAATTTCTGATAATGAGAATATCATCGTCAGCGCATTATGCCTGCTGGGCGGCGCAGGTGAAGGGAAGCGCGTGTCGGGCTACAACTTCCTCTTGGGGGATTTTTTGTTTTTGGTACCTTTAACTCGCCAAGGTAGAAAAGCGAGACTGCATCTGGAACATCATGTCCGACGAGCTCGGGCTTCGAAAGCACGGCAACCTGTGCTGCCGTCCGAGATGCAGGAGTCGGCAATGGATTCATCCAGTGAAGCCTGAACACACAGCGGGGGGGGGGGGGGGGGGGAGCTGTTCCAAAAGGATTACACCATCATCGAGACCTTAAAACCCACGATCATGTAGAACCAGCACAAAGCGCACGCCTTGCAATTCCAGTGTGCAGCCCAAGAGTTAGGGGTTACCTTAAGAACCCCAAACCTACATATTGTTGTGAGTTTTAAGGCCCCTCATAGGAGTTAGGGGTTACCTTAAGAACCCCAAGCATATTGTTGCAGGTTTCAAGGCCCCTCAGAGGATTCTTGGGTAGCCTACCAACAAGTAGGTTTTGGTTTCTTATAGTCGGGCCGATGACAGCAGTTCCCGGACCTGCGCCGTGGCTGTTGTAGAAGTGTGTGCTGGCTGGACATCCCGTGAAGTATCTCATAAACCCGAAGCCCTAAGCCCTAAGCCCTAAACCCCATTTCTCAACGGATTGACCGGAGCTGTCTGAAACCCTCAAAACCCCCCCAAAAACCCTCAAGCTAGCCCTCGACAGAGCGACCCCCTTGGGAACAAACCCTGTTTGGGGGGATCATGTGGTCTTCAAGCTTGAGGAGTTTAGCCTTGGAGGGCACTGAAAGCCCTCTACAGAAACATCCTAAATATGATCCTCTTTAGCCCCAAAGAGGAACATGAAAAGTATGCCAAGGTAAACCCTACACCCTAAACCCTAGCAACCCGGCCCTATCATCCAGGCGACCGAATCAGGCCCTCGGAGCTGTGTTGGAAGATGATCTGGTCCACCCCTTCGAGGATGGTCCCCAGCCTGGCCAGGGTTTAGGGTTTAGGGCTTAGGGCTTAGGGCTTAGGGCTTACTCAACCCTAGGGCGCGAGGGTTTAGGGAGGGTTAGGGCTTAGGGTGTACGATTGGCCTGAGCCGGCGAACTCGCAAACCACTTTAATCATAAATCCTACTGCAAAAACACCAACAACTGGGGGGGTGAAGGGGGGTGAGGGGAGGGGGGGGGGGACATCTGGATTTGGCTAGACTCAGAGAAGGGTGAATTTTAGCACAGAGATTCATGGTTCTGGGAAGCCTTCCGTTTCTGGATCTGGGCACCCAGAATCTCAAATCCTAAGTCCGAATCCTAAATCCTACATCCTAATCAATCCTTTTTCTAAATCCTACCTCCGACTCCTAAATCCGGAAACCTAAGCCCTAAAGGTCCAAGAACCTCAACAAACTAAAAGAAAACCATAATAGCAACGCGACCACCAAGGTTCATATAGACATAAGTAAGGAGGGCAGGCTTAGGGTTTGGGGTTTAGGGCTTAGGGTTGAGGGTGTTTGAAACAGGTGTCGCGCTTGCACGTCGCGACGATTGTTCGTTGCCTGATTTGCAGTATATCCCGCATCTTGTGCTTTGCCCTTCTCGCTTCGTATCTTTAGCTCACTCTGAGATGACTAACACATGGGACGAGGCACAACACGTCACGCGTTGACCCAACAAACTCTGGGAACCACCCCTGTGGCTCACCGCCAGTGGTCCTAGGTAGGATAAAGGGGACCCTTAAAGGGGAACCCTTCTGAACCCTCTTCTGGCTCTCTTAAACAGGAACCTTATTCAGAGGGTCTATATCCCCAAGGGTCCCCCTAATCATATCCCTGAAGTGGCCTCTCATCTGCCAGTGGCTCTTTGGGCCATGAGAGGCGAAAGTCCATAGACCTACGTCGGCTTCGAAAGGAGGTTTCAGGACCTCTTAGCGTTTGGCCTTGAGGCTCGAAGTTGCTTTAGGGTTTAGGGTTTAGGGTATAGGGTTTAGATGCTCAAAGGGTCTTTCGTGTTTGTTTCTGAGAACCCAAATTGCCCGAAGCACGAGTCTCGACCTCAGAAAACCACGCCTACGCAAACACGATCACATTACGTGGGCCGGTCCAGGTTCTTCAGTCGGGTCCTTGCCTTCTACTTTATTACTCTTTTGACTGTTACTCTGTCTTATGAAAACTGCCAAGATTATGATTATGATTCTGATGCGCTGATGTTATATACATATAGATTTGTTTGTTTACCTCGAGCGTGTTGTTTCTCAAGAATGGAAACCCCCCCCCCCCCCCCCCCCAAGCACCGCAAGCTAGCATCCTACATCTCACAGCCCTCCAAAGCCACACTCAACCCTGCAACTGACACCTCCTGAAGACGGTGAGAGCCCCTAAGGCCTAAGGCCCTAAATCCATTCCTTCCTGCGGGGCTCTTACACAGGTTGAAGGCCGAGGCCAAAGGGATCGACATTTAAATCCTACCAGGTCCTACTACTTAGTTGCTGAGTTCATCAGCCCCGACAACGTGCACACTTTCAGTTCTATAGGCTATAGGGGATTATAGTATCCCATAAAGTGTAAAGTGTACTCATTCAACTACTAAGACTATCAGGTGGAGCCTCCGGACACAATCAATCCAGCGCATGAGCGCGTTCCCGTTCCTCGTCGCAGCTGCGGCGTTTGGGGGGTTCAGGGGTTTGCGGGCAATTGAGGGGGCACACGGAAACCAGTTTCCGGCTCCAGCCCTAAGCCCTAAACCCTCCTAAACCCTTTTTGCAGCAGGCTTGCGTGAATCCTCCTAAACCCTAAACCCTGAATTCTAAACCCTCAACCTTCAATCCTAAGCCTTAAATTCCCACATTGACAGCCAAGAGCCGACTTGCGAAGCTCAGAATGGGATGCGCTCGGCACACTGAAGCCCTGCAGACCCTGAAGCCCGGAACCTACAGTAACACCCTGAAACCCCGAAACCCCAAAGACCCGAAAGAAACAAAAAGAAAACAACGAAACCCAGCAAACACACCAAGCGCTAAACCCTAAACTGCCCTAAGCCTAGGCCCTAAATCCTAAGCCTTAACCCGTAAACCCTATAAACCCTAAACCCTATAAACCCTAAACCCTATAAACCCTAAACCCTAAACACCAAAACGGAAGCTGCGGGCCGCAAAGGTTGGGCCGGGAAGCTCCCGAGTCGGCCGAAGGTACAAGTAGTGCAGCAGCTGGGTGAAGTGAAACCTCCCAGCTGGGGGGGGGGAGGGGAGGGTTTAGGGTTTAGGGTTTGGGGTTTCGGGTTTGGGGTTTAGGGTTAGGGTTCAGGGTTTGGGGTTTAGGGTTTTTTGCCACCTGCCTAGCAGGGTTTAGGGGCTTGGGGTTTAGGGTTTGGGGGGGTGGGGTGGGTGGGGTGGGTGGGGTGGGTGGGGGGGGTGGGGTGGGTGGGGTGGGGGGGAGTGGGTGGGGGGTGGGGGAGTGGATGGGTGGGTGGGTGGGGGGTGGGGAGTGGGTGGGGAGTGGGTGGGGGGGGGGGGGGGGGGGGGGGGGGGGTTAAGGGCTTGGGGTGTATAAAATTAGGGTTTAGGGCTTTTAATGGTTCATAAGGGTTTGGGGTTTACAGGGTCTTTCGGGTTTCTAAGGGTGTGCGGTTTATAGGGTTTAGGGCTTTGTAGGGTTTGGGGTTTAAAGGCTTTTGTTGTTTTTCTTGCCACACGCCCTTTAGGGTAGACCCCAAGCCCTCAATTCTAAGAATAAGTCAACATCCCCCGAGCCTCTACAAGGAGAACAGAAGGAAGGGACCACACACCTAAATTTCTTTCATTGGCGATTGAATTTAAAGCAGCAATTAATAAATTAGGGGTACGTATGTTGTAACTCACAAAATCAAGGCAAAACCTGAAGAAAGCATTCAAAATCCCCGATGGACCTGGTGGATTCGATGTGGCTGGGCTCCACCTCTTCCACACGCTGCATTAGCATGGCCACATCCTGGTGCGAGAATGTGGCGCCATGTGGACTCTTTGAGACATGTTCCTGCATATGATCCTCTAAGACTCCATAACAAGGCAAGCTAGAAAATGTACCAAGGGCCTGCCCTGTATAGTCATGACTAAGGCGGATCATGTAGCGGACCGGTTCTTCTTGGGCACAGCTTGGCTTGGCTTGGTTTGGCTCGGTCCCAAATAGGGTTTTCTTTTCCTAGGTGTGGCTTGCAAATAGCACGCCCTATTTGCAAAATTCATCAATGGCCTTATGACGAGCCTGGAAACGCCTCATTCCTATGCGTCTTGAAGCAATGCTTCCTGACGGCGTGCTGTTCTGCGTGCGGAGCAGAAAGGCAGCAAAAGGTTGTCCAAACACAAGGGTCGCATGACTGGGCTGGTCAGGGCTCACAGGCTTCGAAGAACTTCAGAACTTCAAAGCAGTTCCTCTTGACAGAATGATGTTCAAATATCTAACTAAGCTACACTGTGGACATATGGGTTTGGATTTTGTGTGATAGAAACACTTCCCCTTGACGGCATGATGCTTGCTAGAAGCAAGCTTGCGCGGCTTGAAGATGCGCGGGGGAGGGGGGAAGGGGGCGGGAGGGGATTGGGGGAAGCGCAGCGCAGCCCGCCCCCACCAAAGGTCGCATGATGGGGCTGGAAGAGATTCATGTGGATGTGGACGCCAAGCAATTCGCCTGGATATGATGTTCTTCAAAGCAGGCTTGCACGGGCACACCTATGAAAAGCAAAGGGGTCAAGTTGGCCGAGCCAAGCAGCACATACGACGATACAAAGAAGCTGGGCCCCATACTTTTTGGTCTCGGTGTGATTCAGTTCTCTTGGCAATCAACTCTGCTGGCGAGCTCGACACAAGCCAGACACCCTAAACGCCGGCCACTTCAGCCTTGGTGGTCTTAGCCCCCCAGGACAATGCCTCTGTAAGCAGGTCTGCCACCCTAAACCCTAAACCCTAAACCCTACAAAACCCTAAACCCTTTTCATCACTGATTCATCACCTGCCCATGGAACCTTCAGCACGCTGCGGACGCAGAGAGGGCTGGAGAAGCACGGCGCGATGCGCGCAGCATCCACCTAAGCTCCGTTGGCTACATCCCTGGATGATGATTGGGGCTTAGGGTTTTGGGTTTAGGGTTTAGGGCTTAGGGTTTAAGGCTTAAGGCTTAGGGTTTAGGGCTTAGGGGAGTTTTTTGCCACCGGTCGAGCCATTACTGCGGGGGTTTGCTGCTCGGGAAGCCTTAGGGTCAGGGTCTAGGGCTAGGGTTGCGGGGTGTCTCAGGCAAATGGCGCATCTTATGCATTTGGTGCCCCAAGGAAATAGCAGCATGAGAAATGCCTGGGCCCTGCCTTGCGCCAACTGCTCTCAGTTTCGGGCCGTGTCTGTGTGAAACATCGTGCTCAGCCAGGGGAATACCACATCCGGCTCCTGGTGTTCCAAATCATTCCCCACTTTCTTTGTAGGTTACTACTATGAAACCCCTTATGGGATTGCTAGGGAACCTACAAAGAAAGTAGGTTTTGGGTTCTTAAGGTAAACCCTACACCCTCAACTCGAGAAGGCATAGGTTTTGTTGGTTCTCGTTCCTCTCTTCGGACAGTGTGCGACGCGAAAGCAGGGTTTAGGGTTGAGGGTTGAGGGTTTCGTGAATTCGGGGCAGCATCGCGCAACCTTGGGACCAAATGAACTCTAAAACTGTGTATAACTTTATTACTCATGTACCTTGATGGGAATTATCGTGGCATAGGGTATACGACCCCAATTTTGGGGTTCACTTGGTCCCCAAGTAACTTCTCCCCCAACCACCGAACAAAAAATGTAAACGTTTATAACATTCGAGGGAGGGGATTGCTGGGGAAAAAACCGAAAGAATCCTTTCGCCAAGCTTTGACACGAGGGATGTGATCTTGACAACCCTTTGCTGGTATCTACCCTAAACCCTAAACCCTGGACCCCAAACCCTAAACCCTAAACCCTAAACCCTGAACCCTGAACCCTGAACCCCAAACCCTAAACCCTAAACCCTAAACCCCAAACCCTAAACCCTAAACCCTAAACCCAGATGCTGAAGCCCTGTAAACCTTGAAGCGCGGTCCTCTTGAGCCCTGGGCTCGCTCTCTGAAGGAGCCTCGCTGGAAGGCAGGGTTTAGGGTTTAGGGTTTAGGGTTTAGGGTTTAGGGTTTAGGGTTTAGGGTTTAGGGTTTAGGGATTTAGGGATTTAGGGGTTTAGGGGTTTAGGGTTTGGGGTTTAGGGCTAGGGTTTAGGACTGAGAGCCCGATCTAGCTTCAGAAGCGAGACCTTCGAAGCCCTTGAGGACCGTAACCCTTTAAACCCAAGGCCAGCCTCCGAGCTGCCACTGTCCGCCTGGCCCGATGGAGCTTTGAGGGTCTTGTCTGTCTAAGGGTTTAGGGTTTGCGTTTAGGGTTTAGGGTTTAGGGTTTAGGGTTTAGGGTTTAGGGTTTAGGGTTTAGGGTTTAGGGTTTAACGTTTAGCGTTTAGGGTTTAGGGTTTAGGGTTTAGGGTTTAGGGTTACCAAGACTTGGGTGCTGGTCTTGTCAGGGCTCCGAAGAGTGCTCAGAAACAGAGCTTTCGCATGTGTTTGAGAGGTTTGTTTACCTTGTGGCGCACTACATTGGGTGCCACTTGGGACGTTCCCCCTTATGCTAACATAATCGTCCTTATAGTTAGGATTGTTGTAGCCCTATTTTAATCCCTTTAAGGACTGTTCGTAATGAGGGCGAACTTCCCAAGGTGCCACATTCCAAAGCGCAGAGAGATCTTAAGGCTGCGCCTGCCGCCTTTCCACATGCATATGCTGGACATGTATATAGCCGGGCGCCGCACTCAAGCTGAACATGAAAAAAACGTATGTATTCTGGACTTCCTCCCCAACTCACAGTGTGAAGGGCTCTGAAGGCCCCTTGCATCTGCGAAGCATGGGCCATGAAACGCTAGCTTGTTGTCACACCCACAAAAAACTCAAAAACACCCTAGAATTACCCAAACAAGATGCAAACCCCTTTCGAACCCTAAACCCGTTGGAGCCCGGGCTATCTCTGGGGACAACCCCAATCCCTAAACTGCCCTAAACCCTAAACCCTAGACCCTAAACACTAAACCCTAAACTCTAAACCCTAAACCCCTAAACCCTACAGTAAACCCTAAACTCTAAACTCTAAACTCTAAACCCTAAACCCTAAACCCTAAACTAAACCCTAAAACCTGAACCCTAAACTGCCCTTTTTGCTTCCGGGCTCCTGGGGTCTCTGGCCAGTAAGGATCGAAGCCTATGCGATTTACGCAAAACAACCCTAAACCCTAAACCCTAAACCCTAAACCCTAAACCCTAAACCCTAAACTCAAAAGCATAAGCCTGTGTGCCAGCTTATGCCTTCTCACGTACAGGAGCGTATGACACCCGTACGGGAAGTGAACAACCGACTTACTAGTCTTACCTAGAGGTAAATGGTAATTATGGAACATAATTACAGCCATTTACTGTGTAAGTGCATTGTCTGTATACAAATATTCTTTAATATTTCAACAAGACAGTACTGTCAGTACTATTACAGTAATAATTTGTACCCTACAGGCAGCCTCCTAACGTCGCTCCCACAAATGGACCCTCGAGTGCTCGTGGCCAGCCAAAGGCCTGGAGCCAAAAATTACTCGGGAACAGCGCGTTTTTCTTTGTCTGGCCTTGTTAAATCGTGCTTGGGGCCAAAAATTACTCCAAAACAGCGCGTTTCTTTGTGTGTGGCCTCTCTGAATAAGCTGTTTCGAAAAGAGGCTGCAAGCTCTTTCGAAGGTCCCAAGGAGGCTCCGAGGGGGGTACCCCAGGATTCGGGAAAAATGGCTCGATTCCCAATTCGTTTTAAATAGAATTTATATAGCAGAAATGACCCCCTGCATTTTCTAGATTTGTTGCCTTCGTGTGGGGTAGCCCAGGAGAGGGTAAGCCCCCTGAAGCCCCCAAAGCGACTTAGGAAAATGGACCCTCGAGTGCTCGTGGCCAGCCAAAGGCCTGGAGCCAAAAATTACTCGGGAACAGCGCGTTTTTCTTTGTCTAGCCTTGTTAAATCGTGCTTGGGGCCAAAAATTACTCCAAAACAGCGCGTTTCTTTGTGTGTGGCCTCTCTGAATAAGCTCTTTCGAAAAGAGGCTGCAAGCTCTTTCGAAGGTCCCAGGGAGGCTCTTTGGGGTACCCCAGGATTCGGGAAAAATGGCTCGATTCCCAATTCGTTTTAAATAGAATTTATATAGCAGAAATGACCCTTTGCATTTTCTAGATTTGTTGCCTTCGTGTGGGGTAGGTAGCCCAGGAGAGGCTAAGCCCCCTGAAGCCCCCAAAGCGACTTAGGAAAATGGACCCTCGAGCGCTCGTGGCCAGCCAAAGGCTTGGAGCCAAAAATTACTCGGGAACAGCGCTTTTTCTTTTGTCTGGCCTTGCAAAATCGTGCTTGGGGCCAAAAATTACTCCAAAACAGCGCGTTTCTCTGTGTCCCTGAAGCCCCCAAAGCGACTTAGGAAAATGGACCCTCGAGTGCTCGTGGCCAGCCAAAGGCTTGGAGCCAAAAATTACTCGGGAACAGCGCGTTTTCCTTTGTCTGGGCTTGCAAAATCGTGCTTGGGGCCAAAAATTACTCCAAAACAGCGCGTTTCTCTGTGTCCCTGAAGCCCCCAAAGCGACTTAGGAAAATGGACCCTCGAGTGCTCGTGGCCAGCCAAAAAAGGCCTGGAGCCAAAAATTACTCGGGAACAGCGCGTTTTTCTTTGTCTGGCCTTGCTAAATCGTGCTTGGGGCCAAAAATTACTCCAAAACAGCGCGTTTCTCTGTGTGTGGCCTCTTTGAATAAGCTCTTTCGAAGGTCGAAGGTCCCAGGGAGGCTCCGTGGGGGGTACACCAGGCTTCGGGAAAAATGGCTCGATTCCCAATTCGTTTTAAATCTTGTTAGCAATACCCCAGGAGGGG